GAAGTTACTTACTTCCAGGTTCGCCGACCAACTGGTTCGCGGGGACCGCCGCGAACCGGTTGAAACCCACCCCTGATACATACATACATGCATAACACACATACACAAGTAAAATCACTGCTGAAAAGCCAGGTTAATTGGTATGTATATTTTTACACATATGCTACATACAGGTTCTCTCTAAAGTAAGTAAATCCAATGAAAGGCAGTTGGTTTCCAACAAATGCTTTTGGGACTGGAAAGGTTTCAACATCTCCTTTGTCATCTTCAATATCATCAAAATTGCTGCTATCTATATCGCTACTCAATTCAGGTACAACTGGAGCAGCAGCTAAAAAAAAAAAGTAGATACCTGTATTAGAACAAAAGTCAATGTTCTTATTGTTATAGCCGAGTAAGTCCTCGGACTTACGAATGACAGCTCGGCAGCAGCCAGGCACTTATATTAAAACAGCATTTTCTTTTTTGACATTAAGGTTTAATTTTGTATCCCATGTCAGCACCAGGGTCTCAACTATTACTCTATAAGGAACCTCATCTAAATGGAAATTGTCTCCTATTCTCTCAAAGCCTCCATAATGTTTAATCCATTGCGGAAGGCCACGCTGCTTCTCGTTGTATTTTATAGTTTCAAAATAAGACAAATATTTTAATTCAACATGTAATTAACAGTGTTTTGCTTCAGAACAATCAAACAGCATGGTTGCTTATTCCCAAACTGGGACAAAATTTAAATTGTTTCAGAACCCCTATTAAACAAATTAATCAATGTTAAGAATACATGTTTGACTAAACAAAGCTGACATGATAGATGTGTAATTCCAAAAAGAATTGTGTCTAAGATAAAATACGCAAGAAATTTAAGTTTCATTTAGGCTCCCATAATCTGTCCCTTCCAAGTTGAAAGTCGGCTGCTTTAACCCAAAGGTGGTTTTCCAAAATGCAACTGGACTTTCTTTACTTCTATCCCAAAGGTGCTTTTCTAGTTGTTTTTGTCCCAAAGGTGTTTTTCCAAAAGAAAAATGGATTTCTTTTCAAGAAAGTTACCTTTTGGAAAAAGCACCTTTAGTTCAACCATGACATGGATGATTTAGAATCCCCATAGATATTTGCTGCTTTAAGAATGAAACACATTCATTCACAAGCAATTTTTTATTGAAATCTCCTAGTTTTTTATTTATGAGTTAGTACATTCCAGGGTCTCTGCCTTTAATAATCACCCACCCCTACCACTACTCTCTTCCCCAATCCAATTCTTCCGTAAGCGCAGAAAACATGAGAGTGTTTGTGGATCTTTTCCTGCCCTTTCAAGTGACTGTTAGAAATGAGATTTGCACTAAATGAAATATTTACGGCAAGAAATATGCAAAAAAACAACAACAACGAAACACCAAAGTTGATTTTAGGAGCATTTCACCAACTTCCAATCTAGAAACTTTACTTTGGCATTTAGTTGTAAGCTTTCACATTTGCTGAAAAGTGTAATTTGAAAAGTTTTTACTCAGTCAATATCTTACATTTTAAATCCACATTAAACTAATTTAGACACTCACATGCACACAAAAGGAAAATGCATTCAATTTTTTTAAAAAAGGTACTTACTGTCTCGAATGCTATTCCAATCCCATTGATCATTCTTAAAGAATAGGTGAGATTTAATTTCTTCGACTCCACTCCTCCCTAGCCGCACATCCCTAAACATGGCAAATTAAAGTCAAATTTTATTATAAGATCTACCGTTTTCTATTCTGAGGCAACCTATTCACAGTTTTTATTTTAATGCCAGGGTTGCCTAAATGTGTAAGATAAGCTATAATTTTTAACTCTTCATTAACACTGCGACCTGAATCCTCCCAGTGCATTTGCTACTCTACATTTCTCAATACTCTCACATACACTGGATGAAATAACTGGAATTTTCGATCTGCCACGTGTGGAGTAAGACATAATTCCAACTGCACTCAGTAGAAAAGGAATGCTGGAAAAAGCTCTTTTTTAAATTAAAAAAAACCCACCCTACAAGTTTGCCAAACCACAGTGCAAATATTTCAATATAAATGACAGAAGACCTGGCTTCCCAACACAGAAAGTTATTCAAACTTTACTGAAAGAAGTATTTCAACGATCACATCCTTTAAACTCACCCATACGCATATTCATATTTTCCCCCAACAGTGTATAATGAACCCATTATGTAAGTAGCAAACTCATTTATTTTTAACGCAACATTTTTGTGTTCCTAACTACACCTCAAAAAATACTTGTGTATCAAAATTAGTCATATAACTAATAATAAGTATTGCCTTGGTGACATACATATATACACAAATATATAAACATACACAAACAGGCCTACATCATAGTAGAAAGGAATATAAACAGAGTTCTTCTCCTTAAAACTTCAAAATATTTTACTTCCTCATGTATTTCTTTATTCCTTTCCCTTCACAAGGGGACAGAAAGTTATTCAAAATGAAGGCCTTAAACTGCAGGTTTAAGCACAATAATTTGTCTAATAATAGCAATAGCAGTTAGACTTATACACCGCTTCATAGGGCTTTCAGCCCTCTCTAAGCGGTTTACAGAGTCAGCATATCGCCCCCAAAGTCTGGGTC